GGGGGGGGGGGGGGGGTGTCACGACTGCTGCTGTACGTTAGGTTTAGGATTATTGTCGGAGGTTTTGTTTTGTTTTTTTTGTTCTAAATCTAAGACAAGGAATCCATCTCTACCGGTAAGTAGCGGGCTACTAGGGTGAATTAGCAACGACATCATGGCAATAGCGGAGCGCAACCTGCGTTTCTAACATGTTATTTCGGCTCGGCCGTGGTGCGTTGGGTGGGCTGGCTCATGGAGTCTAAAGGAGCGCTGGCCGCTGTGTGGGCTGTTTTTTGGAGCTTGGACAACGTCACGCGGCGGCGGTCGGCTTTTTCAAGCTCATTCATCTTGCGTCACCCCCCTTGATGACGCTGCTGTGCTCTCGTGAGCCTGCTGCGGAGGGCAACCTTGTATAATGTGTCTGGCGGAGGTTTTAGCTTCCTTCCTTCGACTTAAGAGACGGGCCGGCGTGGGTGCTGCATGTGGTGGTGTGCTCCATCCATATATACCTCCAATCACTGCTGTAATGCCCGCCGCCCACGTGGTGGGTCATTTGGCGTGGGACCGGCATTGTTCGCGGTGTCGCTTGCCTTGTTTCGAACAAAAGTGCTCGTGCAGCCGTTCTGCTGCTGTACGCCAGGTTCAGCTTGCCCCCTCCATGCCGTTCGCCCTCTTTCTCAGACATTTTTTTTTTTGTCGTACGGGTGTTGTTTTGTCACGCTTGTGCGAGATACGCCATAGTATAGGCTGATCGGAATCTTTGATCCGATAGATCTGATGCGGCACGCATGCATGACGCACCCACGTAAAATCGCTGCATTTGCTGATGGCGACATGTCCACGACCTCGGCCCATCTCCTGAGCATGTTTTTTGTTTCTCGTCTCAACTTCAAAACTGCACTCACAGCCGTTACAAAAATAAGCCGTTTACTCCCATCCCGTGGTCACACGGAAGGGTTCCTCTCCCTGAGGTCCCCTACCCACCCCTCCTGCGGTGCTTCGCCTTCGCGAGGGCATGGGTGCATGTATGCACATACCATGGTATTGCGGTAGCGCGCACACCAGTACTCTTACGCTTGGTCGCGCGTACTAAGCTAACCTCCTGTAGGCACCGCGTTTCTTTCCGCCCCCCCCGCCCCCCGGTGTTTACCATCGGGGTTGGGTTTTCGTCGCTTGGCAACGACGTTGTAAAACAAGCCGCCCCCCCCAGTGTTTGCCATCGGGATTGGGTTTTCGTCGATTGGTAACGACGTTGTAAAACAAGCCAATTCACTCCGTGAGCTCGGCAACCAGGTTACCGTTTTTTTTTTTTACCTCCGTTTTTTTTTTTTT